CACAGATTTTTCCTGCATTAACCCGAAGCCACATTTCACAAACAAGTCATTGAAGAACTTTCCATCTCTGAGCTTGTAAGAAACTATGTTTCCTTAGTTTTGCACTAAAGAAAATACTCTGTCATGGAATGTTGACTTAAACAATGATACATATAAGTATCTGCAGTGTAGCCATTAAACCATAACCCCGGTTCTCACTTGTGTGTGGTAACAGTAGCTGTTGTCATCAGGGGACCTCTCCTTCCCCAGCACCGTCCTGGACACTGTGTGTTTAATCTCTCTCATTCTCTCAGCGCCTCTCAGGAAGTGATTCAATCCACCTTCGCCCATCAGGAAACTGAGTCAGAGAAGCTAAGGAACTGCCCCATACCAACCACGTAGAAAGGATGGATCCTGGGCTGGAATTTAAGTACAATTCTAAACTAGGGAAACTGATTCCAAGTGTGTTTCTGCCTTTTATACTCTACACTGAATTGTCAGTTATTTAAACCTCTCAGGAGATGGAAAAGGCCTAATTCTAATTTACCTATAGGTCAAAATCAAATGTGTGCTACTCTAGTTAAGATACCAATCTGTTAGAAAATATGACCAATCACTGTCAGATTTTAAACTATCTTGAGCCAATTCCAAGCTGTCATTCAATAAATAGATCTGCTCGGTCTGCGTGCCCCATGGGAGCACCTGAATGAGTTACAGAGAGGCCTGTATATTGTTCCTTAAGCCCTGGCGAGGCCAGGCCTCAGTAGGGCCTGCTGCCCGATGTGCGTCCCCCTTTAGAAGTGTACTGCACCCAGGAACTAGTACACACTAGGACAAAGGGTGCTGACGCAGGAGATGATGCAGGAGACTTTAGCTAGGTATAAAACTTTGATCTCTGCTCCTCATCTCACTGTCTCATTTTAACTATTTACAGCCCTCAAACCAGTGGATTCTTAGCGTATTTTATACTTGATTTGACAGGAATCTTCTGGTATTACTGAGATACATGGGATCGGGTACCCAGAATGCCTAGCTGTAGACAGCAGGGAGGGGCCATGGGCCGAGCCACAGAAGGACACTTGTACTGTCATGGTCATGTGTAGATCAGAAAATCAACCTAGAAAACAGCTTGTGTTCGACACTGTCACAGTTCTGTCCAGTGGAAAAACAGAATACCTTAGAGATTAAGTGCAGGATAGAGATGTAAAGGAAGAGAGCAATGTATGCCTCTGGATATGTTCAAGGATTGTTTAATAACTGAAAAATGCCCTGAAAAATCATGTTTGGAGTTCTCATTTCCATGCTTTCCATGCTCAGTGTATTTTTAAATTGTACATTTGTTACGTGTTCTTTCTCAATTTGTTTTGAGAATTTCTTTAAATAAATATTTTTACTAAAACCACAGAACACTATATTACAAAGTATTCTTTACTAAATACAATTCATGAAAGGTGTATTTTTGCATTTCCTTGAGAAACACTTGTGTTTTGATGCATCTCCATTGACCGCTTTGACGCAAGGGAACACCTGATGCCTTGTAAAGCTGCTGGTGACTGGGTGTGGCACTCTAGAAGGCCTGCAGGTAGACCCCGGAGCACTGACCTGCCAGTTCCGCTGAGGCACCAAGCAGGATCAGGTCCTGGATCAGGTCCTGGATCAGGTCCTGGTGCACGGTGAAGCCACCGCTCAAGCTGGCCCCCAGGGGGAAGGCTCCTGATCATCCGTTCATTTCTTCTGTCGGAACACACCACACTCAGAGGACTCAGCTGCTGCAGCCTGGGGGGAAAGGAGACCTAAGAGGAAAACAGACAAACATTTCTAAGTAAGGACGATGTTTTAGACGTGGATATCCGCTCAAAGAGACAGAAGAAATAAACGTTAAGATTCCTTAGAGACTGCCCAGTGGACAGGGGAATCTACACAGCCAAGCAGGAGCTGCCCGCCATCGGCTGCAGTCTTTTAAAATACACTTTATTGGCAAGCTTTCTGAATTGTAACAGAAGCAAAAGAAAGTTTGGGTGACAATTTTAATGACTAAAGGTAGGAATTCGACCTGGTTTTGATGAGTGGTTTTTAAGGGGGGTGAAATTACTGTGGTAAACTTGATGAAGAGGAGCCTGGAAGTGTTGGTCATTGTGATCTTTCGAAGACATAAGAGGGGCAAAGGTTACAAGCTATGCCACACAAAGATAAACCTATAATGTGTTTACAATAAAATTTTGTGAACTTTGCTGTCAGTTTCTTAATGACTTTATTAATGCGCTTCTACCTTACACAAACACAGATTTCTAAATAAAGCTGGAGAGCGGGCCACGGAGACCTGTTTATGTGACCTCTCTGGAGTCAGAAAGCTGTGCAGTCCCCATGTAGATAGTTTCCTATGCCTTATGGAAGGCTTCTCCCTGGTGGCCCAGGAGAGGGTGTTCACTCACTAAGGAAAGAGCCAGGAGATGAAAGGGCAGGGGCTGGCTACAGAGCCGGGAACATGGGAGGAGCCTCAGGGCATAGATCTGAACTCCCCACATGGCCCAATCAACTGGAGACTGAGGAGTCAGAAACTGCCTACGGCCCCTGAGATAGACCTGAGGGCAGAGTCCTGTCCTTCCCATGTCTCATTACCCAAAGAGCCTCACTAGTTCATTCTCTTTTCCAATGCCTTGTGGGAGAATTCATCTTCATCTTTTCTCTGCTTCAGTTTTTCCTCTTACCTTCTCTGCCCCACTCCGAGGTATGCATGCCCCCAGTTGTTTCTAACTGCTTCCTCATACTTCAACTTGAATAAGTCTAGTTAGACTTGCATTCTACTTAATTACCTGTACTTTCCTCTGGAGTTCTCACTGTTTCCTTTTGAGGGGGTTGTTTTTGTTTTGTTTTTGTTTGCTTTGTTTTGTTTTGTTTTGCCCCATGCATAGATATTTGTATGTAATATAAATAATGTTTCTTAACATTAATACTTTTTTTGTTTTTTTGAGACTGAGTTTCTCTATGTAACAGCCTAGGCTGTCCTGGAACTCACTTTGTAGACCAGGCTGGCCTTGAACTTACTGAGATTTGCCTGCCTCTGCCTCCCAAGTGCTAGGATTATGGTGTGTGCCACCACTACCCATTAGAAATAAAATTATTCTAATCTGCCTGTTTTGAATGCAAATCTATTCATATATCAATCTCTCCCTTGAAAAGGGCCAGATTATAGAAATCTTTCACTCTAAAAAAGGTATGCTTTTCAAACCCATTATTTTCTTCTCTGTTACAAAGGAATGTGCATATTTATGATTGATGTATTTTTTGCTAATATTGCATTAGCTTGGTATCCAATTGTGCACATAATGATTGCAGCTTTAGTGTCAAAACAAATATCTCTCTGACTAGGAAAATGAATTCAGTTTCTGCTGTTGCATAAGGGGTATACACTAAATTACTCCTTGCTGGAGGTAGGTAGGGCACCTTTGCAGTTGATGTACCTAAATTTAGACACCCTCTGAGATATGGGAGAATTGACCTCATATGAAACAGAGGTTTTGAAGTTACAGTGAGAATGTCCTTCATTCTGTGCATCCATTCATGCGAAAAGCACAGCCCAGTGACAGACTCCAGAACATCAGAACTATGAAACATGGGTGAGGGAGATACTCACCCTCTTTTTGGTTTTTGTTTGAAATACACAAAGCAGAGCACTAACGATGTGTGGTGGCGTTTGACACTCTGTCCAGTTGAAGGGTACTGAGTATGTTCATTCAACACTACTGAAAGTATTGTGAAAGCAAAGACAAAATACGGGCTAACTCAGGAAAGAGGGGTTCGGACCAGAGTGATTGAGATGAGACTTGAATGTGCAAGATTCGGACCACAGAGGGGAGGGAGTGGCAGTGATCTTGGATTGGGGCAGAAGAAAAACTCATTTGGTATGATGTAGACATACGTATCCCTGGCCTGGGCCACATCTTGCAGTTACTACCCCACATGAATTTATCAAACTTAGCTTCCCAGGCTAGCTAGATTATGGGAAGTTTTGAATGCCAACCTTGGGAATTCAGACTATAGACATTTAAAGGAACATTTCGAAATTTCAGAGGTGAAAAATGCGTAAGGGTAATGGTATTTTTGAAAAACCTGTCCTTTGGCATTACCTACAATGGAGAGGGGAGGGGGCAGGGACCGGAAGTTCAGTACACCTGTTCTAGTACTTCAGACGTGATGGCAACTCAAACAGGTGGCTTGAGACCGGAAAGGAATGGGTGATACGTTGCTGAGAAAGGTTATTCTTTGTACTCTGATTTTGTCTTCATGGGTTTTGTTTAGCTTAAGGCAAATCTCAAGAATCCATTTACCCAGCCGTCGCCATAGTTTTCCTGTATGTATTCAGCCTTTGTAACTTGTTCCAAAACCTACAGAGTGACATGAAAAAAGACTTGACATTTCTATATTTTATGACATCCTCACAGCTCGGGAGCAGGACATCCTTTTCATGACCATTTTTATTTATTTTGTGTATACTGAAAAAGATTTCAAAATTATGTGAAAAGTAGCAAACGCCATAAAGATAAAGCTTATGGGTCCAGTTGGGAAAGACCTGGGTGCCCGTTCTGTGAGTTGCACTTTCCATTCATAGGAGAGGTTCGCTCTCTAGTGTAACCATGTGTCATTCATGTCATAAACCACATGACGGTGTTCTAGATAAGCATAACAGACTTTGCCCCATGCTGGTGACAAGCGGCAGAGACACTGGACTCACTAGGAAGCAGACTCCAGGCTGGAGGATCCTGGGAAGGCAGTGTAGAGGTGAGGCTGTGGTAAATGTCTATTCTGTGAATACTGAGGGGAGGTCCTTCCATAAAATGTACGTACATCTTAGTATATCAGTCACAGCTTTGGGGTAGCGACCTCTCAGAGGCCAGTTTCTAAGAAATCAAATGTTCATTTCACTTGATAATTAAGAATGCTTCCTAAATCTTAAGTTGAAAATTAAGTTTTCTGTTTTGTTTTGTTTTTTTTTTTAATGTGTTATTTTGAATGAATCAATTTACTTACCTTTCCCCAGGCATTATGAAAGACTTCTACTTCGGAGTTACTATCATAGTTATAGATCTTTGCTTTCCGGGAACGGCGACAACCCCACCAAGAAAAAGCAGTGTTCTCCACAATTCTGAGCGCCACTGCGATGGGCCTCTTCTGACAAGCTGGTCTACAAGGCACACATCCCAGATAGCAGACACCGTGGATGTGAGCTCCCCTATCTCTCCAGTCCTCTTCCAGTCTCACACGAGAAAGGAATGGCAAATAACACGCCTGGACCTCAGTAACCACAGCATCTCGTTCATGACCCTCAGCGCTCTCGCCCCTTTTCATGCTTTGGAACTACTGAACCTCAGCAACAACGCCATGCACTCCCTCTGGCTGGATCTGCCCCTGCCTCGCCCCTCGCAGCAAAAACGCCACACCGGAGGCGGAGGCGGAGGCGGCTGGCCCTGCAGTCTTCCCCGTCTAAAGGTGCTGATACTTCAAAGAAATCAACTCCGTGGCACTCCTAAAGGTGAGCACTTTTAATGAATGGATGAGACGGAGAAACAGTGCGTGGGGAGCTGGTGTTTTATGTCAACAAGGGCGCTGTATTTTGTTCAGTTTCAAGGGAGCAGCTGAAACCGCAAAGCGGTTTGACCGAGCAAATACAATAAAGGCGTTTCCTAGTGGCACTGCCTGCCCGAGTGGAATTTGCAATTAGTGCGGCTTAATGTCCCACTTGTACCACTCGAATTGATGTTGTGTGAGTTGGTCAAGAAACCCCAGGACTTAGCTAAGTGCTCGATAATAATCTCTGATGCATTTCGGTTTGTCTGTTTTTGAGACAGGGTCTCACTGTGTAGCCCAGGCTGGCCTGGAACCCTCTATGTAGACCAGGCTAGACCCAAACAGAGATCAGCCTGCCTCCCAAGTGCTGGGATTAAACCTGAGTGCCACCATGCCTAGCTAAGTTATCTATTTTGTTTTTTATATAGGTTTATTAATATGAGAAAGCACTGAGAAGGAATGGATACAGGTATTTTTTAATATACAATATAATTTAAATTAAACATATTATCGTATTTACAATTTTTTTCTTCTTGGAATACATTTTGCCTTTTTAGTTGTCCTCCAAATGTAGACCAGGAATATCACAATATTCTATATTTGTATGTAAAACTTCCTACTGTGAAACCAAAATCAGAATTCCTTGCTGCAGCTTAAACTGGGCCCTGGAGATGCGACCTTCAGTTTTCTGGAACAGGGGAATTTCTGACTCTGAGCCCCAAGGAGGGTAAAGAGGGTGTTTGCAAGGATGAATGCAACAGTCTTAGGCTGACCCTCCTCTGCACCTTCTAAGTCTTGCTCCACAGCTGGGGGAGAATTTTAGGTTCTATCAGGGCATCAGGATATGTGTGTGTGTGTGTGTGTGTGTGTGTGTGAGAGAGAGAGAGAGAGAGACAGAGACAGAGACAGAGACAGACAGAGACAGAGACAGAGACGAGACAGAGACAGAGAGACAGAGAGAGACAGAGACAGGCAGGGAGACAGAGAGACAGAGACAGGCAGGGAGACAGAGAGACAGAGAGGGAGACAGAGAGACAGAGAGGGAGACCCCTTGCTACTCAGAGAATATCCCTTCTCAGTCTTTCCATTTGGAGGAAATCTCTTCCCCTTTGTGCTTCTTCAAAGCTCTTTGGGGAAAGCCCTAGGGATTCCTTCCTCTGAGGTTCAGGACTCCAAAGACCTCTGCCTCGGTTTTGCTGGGACAGTAGCACAGGCCTGCTTTGTCCTAGAACGGAGGCTATGGGGACTCACAGGGTTAGCCAGAGAGAATGCTGTCCCAGAGTGAAGAGAAATCTGACCCTCCCTCCCTCCCGAGGCCAGATGTGTTCTCCAGAGGGCTTGCAGTTGTGGCTGATACCAATGTAATTTCACTTCAGGGCCAAAGGCTCAGTATAGAGACAGGCTTCTTCCTCTCTGAGGTCAAATGTCTGCCTCCCAGAATGTAAGCGGGGGAATGGTGAACATGCAGAGAAAACAACAGAAAAACAAAAACAAAATGAGCCACGGGAATTTCTGTTCGAACTCTAGCAAATGCCGCTGTCAGGAGAGGAAGGATGCGAACACAGAAAGTCCCTGTAATGTGTGAATCTGATTGGATAGCGAGGTCGTTTTATCCAGTCCTTTTGTGTTTTGAACTCACTACCTGTGGTCAACATACACTTGAAGTTTGCCCAGGTTGGATCCCCTCCAACACCCCTCACCATTCTGTGAGGTTGACTATGGCAGGGTACACAACCTTAAATCCCGTCTTGGAGGGAGGAGTCGGTGAGAGGTGCTCCTTGGGGCCTTGCCCTACTACTGGGCTATCCTTCCCTCTTTAACTCTCCTGCTCGAGTCTGTCTAATGATAACGTCTAGGTAAAGCAGGTGCTCCCTGACCTATAATCACCATAAGCCTATCACAGGTCATAAATACCATAAGTCAGAAATGCATTTACATATTCCTGTTGGAGTCTGAATATTAAACAATCCCCCCAAAGGCTCATGTGTCTGAATACTAGGTCCTTAGCTAATGACGCTCCTTGGAAAAGTTAGGAAAACTTTAGAAGGATTAAAAAAAAATCTTGCTGGGGGAAATATGTCACTGAGGGATGGCTTTGGCCCCCTTGCTGTCCTCTCTGTGTTTCTAAGTTTGGATGCAATGTAATCAGCCAGCTGCCTACTCCTGCGCCATTCCTTCCCTACCTGTGGCCACGCCCTCCCAGCCACAGTGGACCCTGGAACTGTGAGCCAAAACCCTTTTATCCTTCAGTCGGTCTTGCCGAGATACTTTATCCCAGCGACAGAAAAGAACCTAATCCAGCACTTAACCTACCAGGCATCATAGCTCAGTGTGCCCTCCCTCAGACATTTTCGGAACACTTACATTAGCTGGCAGCCAGATGAAGGCCACGGGACACAGAGTCCATTTGCTGATAAAATGCTGGGTATCCCGTGTAACATTGAACACAGCACCGAAGGTATGAAGCAGTGGTGGTGTGAGCGAAATTTCTTACCATTGGCAAGAAAAAAATCATAACTCAGGCCATCATAAGTCAAGCTTTATTCGAATTGTGAAGATTCCATGAAAAAGGTCCCTCATGTCGCTATAATGCAGTAAGCCATACACAGTATATGGTAGCAATTACAAGTTGTAAAAGGTAGTTTAAAAATCTGGAAGTGATTTGCAAATATTAGTTTGTATTGCTCTCTTGGCGCAAATTGAGAACAACAGTATACTTAGAAACAAATAATTAATTTACTTTCTCTCTAAATCTCAAGTTGTCTTTTAAAATGTTAAATAGTTATTGCCATGGATGGGATCCATAGCCCACTATAATTCATGAGCAGGGAGCCGTGAGTGTCTATTTAGATGTGCTTTCCTCGTCCAGAACAAGAATAAATTGGAAACACCCCAGAAGGCAACTCTCAGGCAACTAGCCATGTAGCACATACAGCTTTATAAGCCATGACTGGTGTCTTTAACAGGGACTGTCTATAGGACACTCAGAAAAGCTCATTTTTATAATGTTGGAACATCACGTTGACTAATTGATGGTCAGGCATGCTTTTGTGTTGAGTCAGCTGTGACATCACCAACAGGCTTTATGTGGAGGAAACACCCTGGTCTGGTGCTGGGCAATACAAAAGAGAAGCCAGACAGGAATGTAACCTGAATGATAGTTCCACCTTCCACCCATAACTTTGGAGTAGTAACAACTTCAAATCATTACTGAAACATAATATCTGAGAGAAACAACTTAAAAAGGAAAGTTTTGTTTGAATTCACAGTTTTGAAGGTTCCAGTCCATGTCAGTCGATTCTGTTGCTTTGGTCCTGTTTTGAGCTGTACATCCTCACAGGAACACATGATAGTACAGTTGTCCAAACTTGTGGTATCAGACAGGGAGAGAGAGCAAGAACTCCCAAGTTCAACAGTCCCCATCAGGGCCATGTCCCCAGTGGCCTCAGACCTCTTGGAGGCTCCACCTCTTGAAGGGTTCACTTCCTCTCAGTAGCTCCAAGCTGGGGACTAAGACTGACAAATGCCGTTTTGGGGACAGATGGCCAGGCCTTAGCAATCAGTATTTGAGGAGTTTAGAACAATGGGGTCAGCCTCTAAGTCCTCCATCCAGCAGTATTTTCAGTGCTTTTCAGAGTACCTGGAAATGTACCGGGACAAACACCTCGCATTGGTTCAGTGAGGCTGCCGGGTCAGGCTGGCATCCTCATGCCAGCCCACCAAGTCCCAGAAAACCAGAGAGCTAGCTGCATTAGAGACGAGATGAAATAATTCCTGACATTTGAAATGAGAAGAATTAAGAAGGAGAGAAAATCCTGTGTCCTATAAAACAAAAGTTTTTTGTATTCTTTTACCCATAGGGATTGCTACTGGATTATAGAAATACAAATAACCAAATTGTTCTCAAAGTCAATTCAATGTTTAAAGAAACAAAATGTACGGAAGACATTAAGGTAACAGAACAAACTTTGAGTCACTTACACACCTTGGTCACAATAAGGGATGACATATTGAATAAAATGCCTCACCCTTGACCATTTTCGACCCTACTTCAGTTCTTAATATGAACTTGAAGCCATTAACTCCAGAAGGGCAGGGTTGCTGATGATCACACTTGGGAAGGCATGCAGAAGTTCACTGTTCACAGACAGTGTTTACTACAGTGGTGGCTAGACATCCTCTCCTGCCTTTTCACTTAGAGACTCTAATATGATCCCAGGAAATAATGACACCAGCTCTGGTGACTTAAATCCTCGGTGGCTAGATTCCAGCCCCTCATAGCCCATGCAGTCAGCAGAATGAAGTTCCAAAGTTAATTCCATTTCCACAAAGTCACTTTGGATTCTTTCTGTCCGCACTGAATTCTCCTTGCTTGAAACATGGACTCTAACTGCCATAGGATGTCCCGGTACCAACCAGCGCCTCACACCTTTTGCTCACTTGACTACCTAGCCTCAGTGGCTCAAATAAGAAACACGTTTTCCCCATTTAGTTTTGCAGCCTAGAATGACCTAACTCCATCTTGGGAGACATTAAGTAGTCAAGGTCATCTGTAAGAACCACACCGGTACCTTAATAAAACAAAATCTTAATCCTCTAAAATCGGAAGAAGTTCATGACACCAAGTCCCACAGCCAGAAGAAATTGACCCTTCTTGGGAAATCCTGGGTTGGCTTTATGAGGGAAGTTGAATGAATAAAACATCTTACATGGCTCTATTTACTTACTAACTGACCTTCAACAACTCACTTAACATAAGAAAGTCTTACCTCTGAGAATAATGAGTGTCCGGGATCACCAAATAATGCGTATACACACAAACACTGTGTAGCCTGGAATACAGAGTGATGTCATACAGAACACTTAGCACAGTTAATCACCTTTGGTGCTGTTGGAGGGCCCTGCATCTGTGGGGCCCACCCCAGTCTTCTGTCCTTGTCACTTCTTTAATTCCAGGCAATAGAATATTCAAAGCTATATTCTGGCCAGGCAGTGGTGGCGCATGCTTTTAACCCCAGCACTTGGGAGACAGCGGCAGGTGGATCTCTGTGAGTTCGAGGGCAGCCTGGGCTACAGAGAGAAATCCTGTCTGAAAAAACAAAAACAACAACAAAAAAATCTTGTACAGAAATATTTGACAGAGAAAAAGACAACAATCCAGGTTTTATAAGGGCAAAGGCTCATCTTCAAAACAAAGGGAAAAAGCTATTCTGATGGTCTTCGAAGGTTCAGAGTATTTGTCAATTGTGCTGTTGCTATGTTCACAGTTGTGCGGTCTTTACAGTGTTAGAGGCCCCTACCCTTCCTTGCTCTAGGCACCCTTGGATCTGTGCTCTGACTCTAAGCTATTCTGGCCTGTAAACCAACCATCACCACCATCTAGATGTGACCTAGCCATCACCACGGAAGTTTCTCCATACCCTTTGGGTTATGTCCTTCCCATTCATCTCATCATCCCCTCCACCCAGGAAAACACAGGTTCCTCTCCAGGCATTGTAAGCTGACTTGAGCTTCCTGTACATTTATTTACATGAGTGGAATCATACAATACAGACAGACCTTGACTGGCGATGCTTCAAACTTAATGACTCTTCAGTTTCACAGGGGTGACAAAAGAATGCACATCCAGTAGAAACTGTCCTTTGCATTTTGTTTTTGTTCCCCTGGGGCCTTTGATACATAATATGGTGTTCTCTATGATACTGGGCAGTGGCTGAGTCATGGCTGCCAATCAGCCTCTTGGTCATGAAGGTAAACAGCCAATGACTCTGTGCACCACATTATTAAGCTCAGATATTTGGTAGGTCAGTTGTAGTAAAGGCATTTTTGACATGATATTTTCAGCCTGTGATGGATTTGTTAAAATGTAAGATCTTTGTACATCAGGAAGCATCTGTAGGGGGCTTTTATTTTATTCTAGCATCTTTATCTCAGTGTGATTATTTTGATGTTTATTCGTGTTATCATATATATTAAATATTTTGTTATTTTTCATTGCTGGGTGTAAGTCCCTCATTTACCTGTTGATAGTTAGGCTAGTATGGGGGAGGCTAATGCGCTGCAATGCAGATGGGTGGAAAAAGGTAAACACTAACCAAAAGTAAGGCAAAGTGTGTGTGTGTGTGTGTGTGTGTGTGTGTGTGTGCTCTCTTGTCCCCGTTTTGCACTCACTTCTTCCAGTATCTGCCCACGTCTATTTTGTTGTTGTGTTTAGTTTGGGGGCACAGTTACAGGGTAATGAGATCTGGGCCTTGAGCCAGCTCCTTCCGCTCTGTCACTGGGCAAGCCTTGCCCCGGCGTTTTGTTTGTGAGTGGGGAGAAGCCCCAGGACTCTGTGAACATTAAAAATGAAAGACTCACAAAACGCTTAGAGCTGAAAGAGTCCATGATTAAACGGGAGCTTCCCACAGTTTCTGCCCTTCAAAGCCAGTGTGTGCTCTTCCTCCGCTGAGCTCCTAGGAACTTACTCGGTTCAGTTAAGCCTTGAGACATTTTCGGAAGCCTGAATTCATGTTTCTAAACAGGCCGGACAAGTACAAGGGAAATGGTGGGGAACCTGTGATGCTCTTCCCAGCGGTCTTTCATGCCCTTCCCAGTCCGTGTGTTCGCACATTTCAACACAGGGGAAAGTTCTCTGCATAAAGACGTGATTCTCTTCAGAGGATGTATTCTACTCCTGAGGTTGCTGACAGCTGGCCTTCCCTGCAGGTCCCCATTTGGATGTCTCCTGGCACTGATGCTAGCGCAGAGAAAGAGTTGAGGGGGGACTTGGGGAGCGTTGGGAGAAGGTACATTGGGGGGCCAGGACAGTGGGGCAGCACACACGGACTCCAGGCGCGGAAGTGTACAGCGTGGGAGTATTTCACACACATGTGTTCTGAGCACCAGCTTTGACTCGCTCTCGTTGCTTGTTAAATATAGTTTTCTTGACCAATTCTCTCTCTCTCTCTCTCTCTCTCTCTCTCTCTCTCTCTCTCTCTCTCTCTTTCTCTCTTGTATGTGTGTGTGACAGAGAGAGAGACAGACAGACAGACAGACAGACAGACAGACAGACAGAGAGTGTGTGTACTCAGAGAAATAATAGCTCTCTACAAGCTCATGCCCCATCTAAAGCAGGCAGCCCCCATTCACTCTAGCCAAATGTCATATGCCAGCTGGAACTTTGAATCTATTCATTCCAGGGAAGCCTGAGATGCAGGCTTTTGTATTGAATCCTTAACGTTGGCCCAATGCTTTTTGGATCTCTGTGTATACAGGCCAAACCCTACATCCCAAGCATTACAAGGGTTCACCTTATTCTGCATAGAAAAGATTTAATCATTGGATAGTCAGGAAGACAAACAGCCCACTGTACAGTGGTGTGGTGTGGATGATGAACTGCTTTGCCTGACAAGTAACTTTTCTTGTCTACGTGTCTTATCGTGCCACCACTCCAAATTTCTGGGGTAAGGATTTGTCATCTGCACCAAGTGCCTCCATCATAATCTCCTGACTGATTCATTGCTTTAAAGTCCGCTTGCTTACTTTGTGTGCCTCAGGTGAACAGATGACAATGGAACTGGTCGAGCCATTTCAGTTACACTACCCTCTCTTCAGAATCAGTCTGGCCGTCCATACCTTGCAGACAGTAAGCAAGAAATAAAGTCGGTTCTGGAACTGAATAAGCTTGATCTGCTACACTGAAGTTAAAGACTCAGCCCACGTTTGAGAACAGGGCTGAGGAACGTGTGAAATCGCAAGCACCTCCCTGGGAGACCCATCTGGCCATTCAGTCTGCTGTGACTGGCACCCTCTTCCTCCTCAGTGCCAACGGGATCTTTTGCGTGCTTCCCAGAACAAAGTGAGGCACAAAGGCGGAGGCTAAAACCCCATCTGATTCTTGTGCTAGAAAGCAAAGTCTGCCTGTGGTTTCTTTTTTTTTTTTTTT